CCGGCTCTCCTCCTCCCTACGCATCCGCAGCAACAAGCCCGGCTTTGTTCGCCTTTGGCCCGGGCTCAGGACGGAGCGGAACGGACCGAGCGCATGAGAGCTGCCCCCGCTCCCTTCCTCCCACCGCCACCGAAGCCCCCGAGGGACCCCGCTCACCCCGGGGGGGGGCAGGGGGGTGAGGGAGGCAGCCTGGGCTCTGCTCCCCCCCTTCCATCCCTGCGCCAGGATGAGACCCCTCTTCTCCCCCACTGCTCACAGACTGTGGGACCAAGCACTGGGAGGAGGGGAGGAAAGGAAAAACCCAGTTTCGTGTTCTCAGAAGAAAAGTGGGGCTTTTGTTTCCCTGGAAACAGGGCTGCGAAAGCAAAGCCCGGTGGGTGTCGATGCTGCACAAAGCCCACAGTGAGCCCCTCGCATTCACCCGGCCATAGAAACCGTCTCCCTCACCCCGGCATTTCATGGGCTGGGGTGGGTGCCAGCGGCAGGACAAGGAGCTTTAACAGCTCCGGTGGATGGGGCCAGCATGGCCAGCCTGCCCTCAGCCCAATCCCACCGCCCCAGCTGCTCCCTGAAGCCCCCCCGCTGGGTGCAGGAGCCTTGGGCAGGGGGTGGATGTGGGGCTTGGAAACCCTGACACCCTCAAACCATCAGCCTGGGACAATTTTGTGCCCACAATGGGCAGGTGGCTGAAGGCCAGGAGCCCTGCATGGGGTTGTTTGGGTGAGATGTGCTCACCCGGTTGCTGGGGCTTGCAGGCTGCAGAGCATCTCAGCCCAGTGCTGGGCTGGCTGGGCTTTACTGGGACCAGACGGAGTCCTACAAACCATCCCAAGCCCAGTGCTCTGGAGGGGACCCTCCCAGGGGCTGGCTTGGCACCAGCTCACTCACCATCGCCCCAGAGGGAGAGGGGCAGAGGGGCTGAGGGCCTTTCCCCATCTCCCTTAGGTGCTGCCTGACCTGGCAGGGCTGATTCCCTGCCCTCATGCTCCCCCAGCTGCCCCTGCCCACCCCAGAGCCCCCCAGGTTTGAGGGAAGAGCCATCCAAGCCCCAGGCGCTGGCTCTTGGGGGCTCTGCGTGGTTGTGCCGGATGGCTGCGTGCACGACGTGCTCTAGGTTACTGGTTTATTGAGCTCTTACAGGGCACTGCTTGGGTCTGGTAGGATATAGTCACTGGGACCTTCTCCTATCTGGAGGGGCTGGCAGGAGGGGATGGGACAGGACGAGGGCAGTTTGTGTTTGCTATGTCCTCTGTGAGCCACCACGGAAACCCTCCGTAGTTTCAGATGGGACCTTTCTGGCACAGCTCCATCTCCAGAGCAGCAACCCCTCTGAGCCTGGCAGCCAGGCTGGGGGGCTGCTGGTGTCCTTGCTGGCCTTTGGGCAGAGGCAACAAGGCCACCAATGCAGCCGCAGGGACTGGGATTTCAAGCCTCACTTGCCCAACGTGGGGTCTGAAGCCCATGGCGCAGCCCCCTGAGCTGTCTCTTCTGCTTGCTCCACGTCCAGCCACGGGCACTAACGGCAAAACATTTGGTCTTGGGAGGAGGTGGTGGAACGATCTCTACGGCTCCCCGGTGGCGCTTAGCAAGGTGTGCCGAGGGCCAGGAGGGGTGGAGGGGACTCTCGAGGCTTGTCGAAGAAGATGGAGGAGGACATCTCGGTTTTGAGCTTGCTGTCAGCGCTGCCCTCGCTGGAGGCCGTGTCGGGGCTGCAGCCCTCGCAGCAGCAACAGCAGCAGTCCATGAAGGCCTGGCCCAGGGGTCTGCAGAGGCACAGGAGCAGGACGGGTGTCACCGAGCACTTGAAGAACAGGAAGAACTGGTTGATGAGGTTGAGAAGGTCCAAGGTCTGCTTGGACATGTCAGGAGACATGTAGGCCACCACGATGTTGCAGACGTTCTCAGGGGTGGTGCAGAGCCCGTAGATGATGGTCAGCCCGATGATGGTGCAGTTCAAGTGACCCTCACACTGGCTGTGCTTGGTCCCTCGGCACTCCATCTTCTTCTCGGTGCCGCTGATCCTCCGAGTCACCAGCTGGCAGCTCACGGTGAAGAGGATGGGCAAGCAGAAGTAGCAACCAAAGTACCACCACATCCGAGCGTTTTGGTAGGTCAGCACCAGCGAGTATACGGACTCAGGCAGGTTGGACGAGGGCTTCATGGTGCAATACTCCGTCACCACACCGGACACGGGTGATGTGTCCCGTGCCAGCTGCCAGAGCAGGATCTCTGGCACTGAGAGTGTCATGGAGCCCACCCAGATGACGGCCAGCTTGGCGATGATGGACTGGCACTGCTCAATGGGCCGGGTGCTGGCCTGGGGGCTGGTGGCCGCGTGGAACCTGTCGATGCCCAGGGCGCAGAGGCTGAAGGTGGTGACTCCCAGTGATGATACCTGGTGAGGGGGGAGGCAGAACAAGTGGGCCTTGTTGCAGGGACATCACTAGGGGCTTGCCTTTACCAGACTGGCGGGAAACCCCTGGCTACCCAAGACCACAGCCCGAGACCCTTCCTCCAAGGTTGTAGAGAGCTCACAGCCTGTGGCTGCATCCCAGGGTTAGAGCCACTTTCCTCTGACTCCTGAAAGGGCAGTGGATAAAAATGTCCCTTGACCCATTTGTCCCTCCCTGCCCACCTCCATTTTCTGCAGAAGGAAGAAGCTTTGCTGGATGGCAAGATTGTCCCTCAGGCTCTTCCTCTATTGTGGATGGCTCTTGGAGAGGAAAAGCAGGGACCATCACAACCACCAGCACCTTCCCAGGGTCCCCAAGCCCCCCCCCCCCCAGGTGCACCAGGCTGGCTTGTCCCTTCCCTGCTCTGCAGAGCTGCTGCCTGTTTCCCAGACAGGCGAACGAGTTGAAGGTGCCATTGTCACAAATCAGCTTGGGGCAGTTTCCGCTGCATTGGAAATGGCAGGGAAAACATCCTGTTTGCTAAAGAGAAGACGCCAATGGAGGCAGAGGAATCGCAGTGGCTCTGGGAGCACTGGCAAGGCACCGAGGGTCACAATCAGCATTCATGGTCCCAGCCCCAGAGCTGCAGCTTTGCTTAGAGCCAAGTCCCACAGCCCTTGGCCAGGAAAACGGCAGAGTCACAGGATGGGGACCCCCAGCCCCCGG